TTAATAAAGGGTCGAAATTGTGTAAAATTAAGAAAATAGTGGGTTTTGTTTTTATTATCAACTTAGTGGTTAATTACTGATTAAGTACTTAATCTATCACTAATTAAATTTAGTTATCACTGATCATTGGTAAGGAGGAATATATTTTACTGATCATGACAAGGAAGAATCAAGAAAATACAGTAATAGGGAAAATGACGTCAGGTTTGGAACCTAAGAATGTGTCCAGGTTCGAGTATCAGGTTTGGAAAGTTTCAGACTTAATGATGATTGATTCGTCTGGTTTTAAGAAAGATATCTGTAACAGCTATGTTGCAGTTATTGTTGCAACAAGGATTTGCAACAGATTTGATTCTGCGGATTAAATGAAGATGTCGTTAAGCTGTGATCTTTCTGCCTATTTATTGAAAGAATTTCTCCAGTAAAGTTAGGCCTTTGGAGTTGTCTTTGATGTGTCGTGAGATAGGTGAGTGCTTGTGCTTTTATTCAAGAGAAATGATTTGAGAGTGTTTTTTGAGCGAAAAACTTAGTTGGAAGGATTCCAACGTAAAGAGTTGAGGGGATCTCGCTGGTTAAGTCCATAGGAAAATTACAAGTTCATAGGCGTCTTCTTAGAGAGGGAGTCTCGGGTAGTTTAAGACCAATTGAGTTCTAGAAAGTTCTTAGTGGATTGATCATTTTCTGGGCGAGGCCCCGCAGAATAGGTTGTTAACCGAACCGCGATACCATTTCTCTTGTGTTCATTAAATTTACGTCTTTGCATAATTTATATTGTCTTATAAAGTATTTCAAGACACAAACCGGTACTTACATTTGGTATCAGAGAGGGTCACTCATGTGTATTTCAGTGAGATCTTTGTGTACTGGTTGTCTTTGCAGGTATGGATGTCATGAGAGAAGGAGGATCGGTGAACAAACCACCGTTTCTGGAAGGGTTTAATTACCCTTATTAGAAGGCTCGCATGAAAGCTTTCATCAAAGCGATTGATGAGAAGGCATGGAGATCTATCTTAACTGGTTGGACACATCCAACAACTAAAGATGATAAAGACAATACTGTTCCGAAGCCAGCAGAAGAATGGTCCATTGATGAGGACAAGCTGGCAAACAACAATTCAAAAGCAATGAACGCCATCTTCAATGCTGTGGATGTCAATCAATTTAAATTGATTTCCATGTGTGAAACTGTAAAAGAAGCTTGGGATATTCTTCAAACTACGCATGAAGGTATGGATACTGTGAAGGCTTCAACGCTTCAAATGCTCACAACTCGCTTTGAACGTTTACGAATGGTGGGGGATGAGTGCATTGTTGATTTCAACTCAAAACTTTGTGATATTACCAATGAAGCCTTTGCCCTTGGAGAAAAATATTCTGACGCCAAATTGGTGAAGAAGACCTTGATGTCACTTCCAGCACGTTTTGCTTATAAAGTGACATCCATCGAAGAAGCAAAAAACGTGGAGAAAATGAGACTTGATGAACTCATAGGTAATCTTCAAACCTTTGAAATGAGTTTTAAAGATCAAAAGAAAAGTAGAGGAATTTCCCTTCAAGCAGATTATGAAGACTTGTCCATTAAAGATGAAACCGATGAAGATGAGGACAAGAATGAGTCTCTTGCATTACTCATAAAAAACTTCAACAAAATGTTGAGAAAGATTAACATGAAAGGTGGAATCAGTGAAAATTCAAAGAACAGAAATTCTCAAAAGAAAACTTTTAACTCTCAGCGTTTTGAAGAAATGAAAAGAAACAAGGGCATACAATGTTGAGAGTGTGAAGGGTTCGGACATATACAAGCAGAATGTACAAACATTCTCAAGAAGAGAAACAAGGCTGCAATGGTATCAACGTGGAGTAATGACTCGGATGAAAGTCAAGAGGATGCAGATGATCACACCAGCAATTTTGTGGCCTTCACTGTAAGTAATGAATTTTTAAATAATAATTTGTTGGACACTGATAATGCTATTACAGAGTCTGTTACAGCAGCTTCTGCAACAACCTCTAGTGGAGTTGTTGATGATACAGGTTCCAAGGACGATACTGAAGGTGATAGTGACGATGATGACCTGAGTGTTGAGAAGATACATGAGGCTTATAAGAAGATGAACAACAAGTGGCTTGTTGTTTGTAATAGAAATAAATCTCTAAAAGATGAAGTCACTATCATAACAAAGTTAAGAGATAAGTTAAAGAAGGCTGCAACAAATTATGAAATCTTGGCAACAAAGCATCAGAGAAAGCTTGTTGAAACCAGATTCAAATTGGAGCAGACCCAGAAGAATTTAAGAATGCTGAATTCGGGAACTGCAAAATTAGATCACCTTCTTTCACAACAGAAAACTAGTAGTGATCATTCAGGGATTGGATACAAGGGTCGCGGAATCTCTAGAAAGACTGTTTTTGTGAAAGAAGCCACCAGAACGCAGGCATTTCAGAAATCACAGGTAGGATCAGGTAAGAAGTGTGTTGCAAGACCTGTTGCAAAAAGACAAACAACAAATAGGTATGTCCCTATTTGTCATTTTTACAATATTCCTGGACATATTCGACCATGGTGTTTTAAATACATAAATGCTATTAATAAAGGCTTGAATGTGGAGTATGGAGAATCAAATGAAAGTTTGCTTATACTAGATATATGAATGTTTATTGTAGATCAAAATGTCTTCTAGCGCATTATCATCGATACTTAATAAACACAACTTAACTGGCGAGAATTTTACCGATTGGAAAAGGAACCTAAAGATCGTCCGAACCTTTGAGAAACTGAATTTCGTACTCAATACACCTTGTCCTCCGGAGCCACCTGTTGATGCTCCTAATGAGGTTTTCGTAGCGTATCAACGCTGGAAGGACTCTGACGATATGGCTCACTGTTATATGATGGCGAGCATGTCTATTGTGCTACAAGCACAACATGAAGATTACATAACTGCTCGTCAGATTATGGATAATCTTGAGGACATGTTCGGTGGCCCAGCCGCTGAAAAATGTTGGGAAGCCCTAAGTAACCTCATTAACTGCAGACAGAAGGCTGGGTCTTCCATAAAGGAACATATGCTGAAGGTGATAGGCTATTTGGCTGAAGTTCAGACTAAAGGGGCCGACATCGATGCTGAGTCTCAATTGACCATGATCTTTGAGACTGTGTCGAAGGAGTATATTCCGTTTAGGGCAACGTTCAATTTGAGCGCTAGATAGAATATAACCTTGACAGAGTTGATGCAAGAACTCCAAAAGTTCGAGCGGATGATCAACGGGTCGACTATTGTGGAGGCCAACTTTGCTGAGGCATCTTCCTCCAAACCCTCTCCAGGGAATGGAAAGAAGAACCGAGTAGCTAAGAAGGAGTGTTCTTCAGTTCCGCCAAACAAGGGCAAGAAAAAGAAGAAGAAGAACCCGAACAAGCTTAAGTGCTTTCATTGCGGGAAGGTGGGGCACATGAAGAAGAATTGCAAAGACTACCTAGCCGCTAAAGGCAAAGGAGATGAGTGTGATCTTTTGATTGTGGAAGCATGTCTGGTTGAGGAATCCAGTGACAATTGGGTCATAGATTCTGGAGCAACTAATTATGTGTGTGTTTCTCCGCAGGGGTTCAAGCAAACGAGAAGTCTTCTAAATGATAGCTTCACGTTGAGGATGGGCGATGGAACACTAGTGTTGGCTAAAGCAGTGGGAGACGTCCATCTTTATTTTGATAGTTATAGGAGTTTATTTTTGCGAGACTGTTTTTATGTTCCTCAATTTAAGAGGAATCTTATTTCTGTTGCTTGTTTATTTAAGGATTCTTATTCAGTTTCTTTTAATAATAAAGTTGTGATTCGTAAAAACAAGTCTTTTATCTGTGATGGATGGATGCAAAATAATCTATATTTTATCAAACCTAAGATGGACTCACTGCTAAACACTAAAGTTGTTAATAACTCTAAAAGGCTTAAAACTTCTCACTCTAATGAGACATATCTTTGGCATTTGCGACTTCGTCTGTTCTTGGTCTATTCTAGGTTTTTTCATTTCTAACAAATTTTTTTTCTCTTTTATAAACTACAATGTTTATTAATACCCAAAAAGTCCAAAAAAGATGAAAAAAATGTATCTTTTCTAATTTTTTACAAGAGTCTGTTCTTGGTCTGTTCTTAGTCTGTTCTCGGTCTGTTCTAGGTTTTTTCATTTCTAACCAATTTTTTTTTTCTCTTTTATAAACTACAATGTTTATTAATACCCAAAAAGTCCAAAAAATATGAAAAAATGTATGTTTTCTAATTTTTTACAAGAGTATGTTCTTGGTCTGTTCTTAGTCTGTTCTCGATCTGTTCTAGGTTTTTTCTTTTCTAAATAATTTTTTTTTCTCTTTTATAAATTACAATGTTTATTAATACCCAAAAAGTCCAAAAAATATGAAAAAAATGTATCTTTTCTAATTTTTTACAAGAGTTTGTTCTTGATTTGTTCTTGGTCTATTCTTGGTTTGTTCTTGGGTTTTTCATTTCTAACCAATTTTTTTTTCTCTTTTATAAACTACAATGTTTATTAATACCCAAAAAGTCCAAAAAATATGAAAACTGTATGTTTTTTAATTTTTTACAAGAGTCTGTTTTTGGTCTATTCTTAGTCTGTTCTCGGTTGGTTCTGGTCTGTTCTTGCTATGTTAGTCGGTTCTGGTCTGTTCTTGCTATATTAGTCAGTTCTGGTCGCCAGTGCCACCCCCCGTGCGCCAGTGCCCCCCCGCGCATGCCAGTTCCCCCCCCGCACAGCCTTTTGTGGGACTGGTTTGATGTTTTCTAAAAAAAAAAAAAAACATTATTGTTTAAAAATTTGGGCAGCATTTCCCCATAAATATAAGCTTCCCCAAAGCGATAATAACCTGCTGAATACATTTAACAACCCGGTGAATATAATAAGTGTAAATACATTGTAACACCAAAATTGTAACACCAAAATTTATAAGTCATGATTACATCGGTGCGTTCTTACATTTCTTCTGATAGTGTCTATATTCCACACCTAGCACATCGATTCTGTCTTCGTGTGAACTCACCTATGCTGGGAATGCGTTTTTGCTTTGGCCTGCCCCTCTTTGTTACAACTCGCGGTGGAAGAAGGTAAACTTCCTTTACGTGATTCGGAATATCCCATTGCAAAGTATCCGGCACAGGATAGATTGTCTCAGCATACGCAAGAGCCCAAGCTTCTGTCCTGTAGTATTTTGAGCATAAATCATAGAGTGACATTCCTACTTCTCTACAACATGATATTGCATGCTCACATGGTATCTGCTCAAGGTCGAACACACGACAAGTGCAACTCTTCGCTCCAATGTTGACAATTGCAGTGGCCTCTCCACCTGTCACTTGGAACTCAACAGTATTAAGTCTTGTGGCCGTTAGAAATCCCGCTTTGTTGTGCCTCTCACGAAGAGTTTTTTCCACACTTGGCTTTAATAATGTTTTAGTTTTAGAAGCTTCAACCCGCCTGTTATTAAACCACTCTGACATCTTCGCTTGTATAAAATTAAAGAGGGTAATGACAGGATAATCTCGAACATCTTTGAGCATTGCATTAACTGGCTCAGACATGTTTGTGGTCATAATATTATATCAATTTCCTTTAAAATGAGCACGAGACCACATTTCAAAACGAACTTGCTCCTGTAGGTATCTAGCAATACTGGGATATCTTGCAGACAACTCATCAAACAAGACTGAAAACTCGTCAATGCGGTAGGCCTCAGCGGTTTTAAAGATCAATGGCAGAACACCGCTGCATATGAAATTACTCTTGATGTTTTGAGACACATGCCATGTGCAACAATTGTGATGTGCTAATGAATAAACTGTAGACAATGCATTACTTATACTTTGATTCCTATCAGAAATAAAAACTAATTCCTCAGAATCAGTGATAATCACCTTCAAGTTCGAGAAGAACCATGTCCAGGATGCATCAGTCTCTGAGTGTACAATGGCCCATGCGATGGGATAACAATGACGTTCATTATCCTGTGCAGTGGCAACTAACAACGTACCTCTGAATTTTCCCTTCAACCACGTTCCATCAACACTGATAACTTTCCTCATGCAACCAAAACCTCGTATACAAGGTCCATATGGTAGGAAAAGATAGATAAAACGGTTCTGTTCATCAAAATGAATATTGGTGATGCTGTCATGATTAGTAAAAGACACCATATTAAAGTATGATGGGAGCTTAGTGAAGCTTTCTTCGGCCATACCTCTTACGAGTTGAAGTGCATGCTCACGAGTCTTCCATCCTTTGTAATAACTGAAGTCCGTCCCGAATTCGTCACGGGCATATTTCTGAATTGATTTCGGAACCGGACCCTGTTTGACCCCTATAAATTGGTTTTTCATGCAACTTCCAATAACGGAGTACGTTGCTTGCCTGTGCTTCGCTGAACGCTTTTCTAACGAGCAAGAGTGAACACCATTATACTTACGGATTACAAACATGTTCGACAGTCTCAATTTGCAGGCTCGGATACGCCACACACATCTCGGATCCACACACTCTACTACAAGCACGTCTTTATTTGATTTTGTTGTTTGAAACTCAAACTTCCCTTTCAAAGCTATTAAATGCAGCTTTTCCTTCAAATCATTCTTACTTGTAAAGTACTGACCAACTTCTAAGCGGTTGTGGCTCTCGCTGTGGCTGTGACTCTGGTTGTGGTTGTGACTATGGTGGAATATCATTACGAGTCAAAAACTCATCTGTAGCTACATTACCCATAAAATCACGATAAAAAAAATCATCATGCAAAGGATTTCTCCTAATGTTGACTCCATCAAGATGTTCTTCGGGATTCATAACCTTCCCATCCACTATCACGTATAGCGGTACCTCGTGTGCTATATCCCTGAAGAATAACAAATCATTATTGTCTTTCATTACAACAGGCAACGATATCTGTTTCAAATTCGGTACCCATGATAACTGCAAAGAATGTTTTTGCCCATCAATTCTGCATTTTCTACAAATCTTATCAACGAAGGTTTCGAGAGTATCCTTCTCATCCATATATATGCCAATTAAATTACAATCTGTATGCCACACCCAACAACTTTCAGTCTCATCCCATTTTCCTCCAATGTCAAAAAAAATCCTCCACTGAGCCATTATTTAGATTTTAAAACTGCAAAAATTTAATCAAGATAATAATATGTCATTAAACCAAACCAAATATCCCACGACCAGACTAAGAACATACCATATAATGAGAACAGACCAAGAACAAACCATATAATAAGAATAACCCAAGAACAGACCAAGAACAGACTAAGAACCGACTGTGCAATAAGAACAGACTAAAAACTGACCGTGCAATAAGAACAGACCAAGAACAGACCATCAACAGACTAGAACCGACCATGCAATAAGAACAGATCAAGAACAGACCATGAACCGACCATGTTATAAGAACAGATCAAGAACAGACCAAGAACAGACCACGAACCGACCATGTTATAAGAACAGACCAAGAACAGATCAAGAACTGACCATGTTATAAGAACAGACCAAGAACAGACCACGAACCGACCATGTTATAAGAACAGACCAAGAACAGACCACGAACCGACCATGTGATAAGAACAGACCAAGAACAGACCAAGAACAGACCACGAATCGACCATGTTATAAGAACAGACTAAGAACAGACCGCGAACCGATCAACCTTTTTTTTTCAAAATTCAGTAGATCTTCATCATATCAGACAATGTAAACTAGTCTTTTAACATGTAAAATTACTATTTTAATGGATTTTTAACATTTTTAACTACATTCTCATCTTAAAAACATATGAACAACAATGAAAAACACCACGAGAGATATAGAAAATGAAAGACTTATTTAGTAGCTCTTCTTCAAACTTCGTTTTGGACGAGAAAAAAACGTTGAATGGGCAAGATAATAATGTTAATGAGGTTATGCGACGACGATGACTTGAGAAGAAGAGAGGAGAAATTGAAGGCGGCTGGGAGAACAAAATGGCGCGAAATGGAAGAGGAGGAGGAGAAAGAAAACCCTAAAAGCATAATTAATGACGTGGAATGCTGATGTGGAAGTTAGATTATTTACTCAATTTATTTTTTTGTGGTTTATTTACTTAAAAACACATTTTACTTAGTCTATTTATACAAAGTTCTCCCTATTTTTTTGGTTTTTTTTTTCCTTTTTTTTTCTTTTTTAAGATCGATTATCAGACTAAAATCGTTACTCTGTTGAGTTGTCTATGATGAATAGTGCTGTTTGTCAAACTAATAAGTATCACTTTTTTTATTTGGAAAAGATAACTGACTCGTAATTTTTGTAGTACTGAATTATCGAGTCATGCTTCTAATATCTTATCAAACAATTAATTGATGACATTCAAACGTCTATTTTTGTGTTTTATTTAAAAAAAATAACTTATCTGTCACTTCACTTCTCTTCTCCAGATGAGGAAAGAGAAAGAAGAAGCCTAATTCTAGTCTAAAGAAAGAAAGAGAAAGTTTCTCTGACGATTTGAGTAGTAATATAATGACACGATTTAAAATATGTATAAAATTAATAGATTTATATTTATTATAAATGAGTTTAGATTATAATTAAATTGACACGATTAACACAATTAATAAATAAATTAAGTTAAAATTGACCTTTTAATATAGAGTGACACGAATTGATACGATTAACTATATGTGTCATCTGTAATGTAATGATATGTGATATACCATGAAAGCTTATATGACATATTAAATATAAATGATGTGAATTTTAATATTTATACGTAAAATTCATTTATTTTTCTTAAAGAAAATGATAAATTGACCAATATACATGTTAAACATGTCATGATCGTGTTAAACACATCATTATTATATTAGTTATTTATTCAACCTATTAATTTAAACGGCTTATACAGGTTGACATGATTAACACGATTAATAAATGATTCGTATTTGAATTAATATTTTTAACAAGTTTAATAAACAGGTCGTGTTTTAATTGATATTTACTGACACGATTAATAAATTTATTGACACGAATACGACTCAATAACACAAATTGTCACCTCAAAAAGAATCAGAGTTGAAAGAAGAAAGAGAAAAAAAAAATTAAAAATCAAAAGTTAAAATTTGAAAATAAAAAATTGAAAATTGAGAATGACCTATTAATATCTAATAATTAATAAATCTGATATTTACTCTCAAAGGTATCAAAACTTGGTTTACTACAATTTCTGGTAATTATCAAGTTTCTCCACTATTAAGTTAATCCCGTCTATACGACTTTTGAACTTATCATATGATTTATCATCTCTATCGATAAATCTTAAGAAGTATCCCTCAACACTCTTTTGCTCATAAGAAGCATATTCCTTCAATACATTAGACGTGAAGTTCTGTTAGAACAAAGCTAAAATTTTCCTCATTACTATATTTTCTTGATATCTCCTTGTCATGATTAGTAGAATAACTAAAATAAATTAGTGATAGATTAAGTACTTAATCAGTAATTAACCACTAAGTTAATAATAAAAAGCAAACCGACTATTTTCCTAATTTTACACAATTTCGACCATTTATTTAAAAAACAACCCTTAAAATGGCCAAACAAAACCAATTTTGATCAAACTAGCTAGCAGTTCGGAAACAATTGTAACCTTTGTCTTGGTTGAAAATGATTTTCTCCCAAGACCAAACACTGCACATCATCCAAATATTCTAAATTTAAATGAAAAATTCAAAATTGCTAAAAAAAGAAATCATAAAAAATAAAAGAAAGAAATTAATTGTCATGACCCATAACCGCACTCAATGGTAAATTTATTGAGGGTTCGTTTAGTTCGATGATACAAACTTTTAATTTAACTTAAGATGTAATTTTATGTAAAAAAATTTCACTGTAGCAAAAAAATTAAATGTGACTGCTTCTGAAAAGTTTTTACTGCAATAAACTCGAATTATAAACTTAAATCAGTAAAATAAATGAGGCTTAAGTCTTTCTAAAATGTAGATTCCTGCGCAAATATGAAACTTTTGAAGGAATCCCCTAATTTCAATTCGATCCATAACACCCACAATAATGTGTCAACATGTCAATCATAGAGCTAAGACAAAATATCATAAAGGGGCGTTCATTATGCATCACTCATTTACATGCAGTAATATTTGGAGACGTTTGGTTAGAGGATTCATACTATGATTTGAATCATAGTTCATGGTTCGCTACAATGTTTTCTCTTACAAAAAATAAACGTAAATAAAAAATAGTTCTAATCTCATGATTTTAATCCACAAAATAAATGTTTCCCGCAATACAGATTCATTTAGGAATTTAATCCTAATACAAGTTCAAATAATTATTACACATAAAAGGAAATCCATAGCCTCGCTGGAGGGTATTACCAGGAGACAACTGAAAACGTTTTTGTAATCTAGCTATTAGTGCTGAAACTTTGGACGAGCCGCCCGTGACCACCGAAAAGTCTGAATTTTTGCCTGAGTACCGAACCCAAACTACCCGATAATTCAGGCTGCCTGACCCGACCCGAAAATTGCCCATGAACGGGCTTCAGGCAGGGGGTGCCTGCCCGTGCTCGGTCGGGCTGCCCGATGCCCGACCAGCTGCCCGAATTTTCAAAATTTTTTTTATATTATATTTTTATGTTGTATTTGTATAATTACAATGTGTATATTACAATTTAAAATTTGAAATGAACACACGAACTATATAAAAAAAATTATTTCTACATTGATTTATAAATTTATAATTCATGATTGCCTCGTTAAAAACCTTACCAAGAAAAACCCAATTGGGATAAAAACTTGGTAAGGGAAAAAGAGTGCAATTATTGTAGAACAAATTACAAATTTGATGAACTTACAAAGTCTATACAAGATTACAATAACACTATACAAATTAGAAATTACAAAGTAAATAAATATTTACAAATTAGAAAAATAAAATTTAATTTGAAGCAGAATGATCATCTTGAAAATTAAAAGTTAATCAATTAAATTCATCGATCCATTCTTGGTTTGCCGGTGTTTTATGTTGTATTTGTATAATTACAATGTGTATATTACAATTTAAAATTTGAAATGAACACACGAACTATATAAAAAAAATTATTTCTACATTGATTTATAAATTTATAATTCATGATTGCCTCGTTAAAAACCTTACTAAGAAAAACCCAATTGGGATAAAAACTTGATAAGGAAAAAAGAGTGCAATCGTTGTGGGACAAATTACAAATTTGATGAACTTACAAAGTCTATACAAGATTACAATAACACTATACAAATTAGAAATTACAAAGTAAATAAATATTTACAAATTAGAAAAATAAAATTTAATTTGAAGCAGAATGATCATCTTGAAAATTAAAAGTTAATCAATTAAATTCATCGATCCATTCTTGGTTTGCCGGTGAGATTGTATCGTGTAAGCGTTGGTTGGAACGGTCCCAATCCTTGATGCATAACAAAGCTTCAACAATATCCTGCTGCAATGTGTTTCTCCGTTCTTCAAGTATTCGGCCGATTGTACTGAATGCTTGTTCGGCTGCAACAGTGGAGACTAAGATCGAAGAAATATCCATTGCCAGTCGCGTTAGGATTGGCCAAGTTAATGCTCGTGCCCTCCACCACTCAACCAAATCAAACATTTCACTACTGTCTATAACTAAGCCTTCACTCAGGTACGC